CATTAAGTAAGTTCACAGAGCTGTGCTCCCGTTACTACCGACTCTCTCCAGAACTCTGTCTGCCTCTTGGGCAAGTGCGGCTCTGCGCCCATTAAACACGAGCTCCCCATTCCTTCCAACCTGGCAGCTTCCATTCTACTTTCTGCCTCTGTGAATCTAACTCCTCCAGTTGCCTCACCTGAGTGGAATCATTCAGGACGTGTGCTTTCGTGACTGGCTTATTTCAGCATAATGTCCTCCAGGGTCACCCATGCTGCAGCCTGGGACACGATGTCCTTCCTCTATAAAACTGAGTACTATTCTGTTGTACGTACTTACCGTATCTTGTTTATCCATGTGTCCACCAACAGACACTAGGCTTGCTTTTGCCTTTTGGTTACCATGAATAATGCTGCCATGAACAGGGGCACCCAAATATTTTCCCATCACTGTTTTTATTTTAAGTTTTTATTTAAATTCCAGTTAGGGGGCACCTGGGTGGCTCAGTCTGCCTTCAGCTCAGGTCATGATCCCAGGGTCCTGGGATCGAGGCCCGCCTCAGGCTCCCTGCTTAGCAGGGAGTCTGCTTCTCCCTCTCCCTCTGCCCCTCCCCACCTCGTGTTCGTTCTTTCTCTCTCTCTCTCTGTTTTTCTCCTCTCTCTCACAAATAAATAAAATCTTTTAAAAAATAAAAATAAATAAGTTAGTTAACATACAGTGTAATGTTAGTTTCAAGTGTACAGTATAGTGATTCAACACTCCTATCACTGTTTTTAAACCTATTAAGTATTAGAATGACAAAGGGTCCCTGAGTAAAACAATATGCAACAGCCGAGTTTATTTCCAGTTACCTCTGCTTGTACTTTAAGGGTCTGCTCAGATATCGCCTCCCCCAAACTCACCCCGAGATGGAGTGAGGCGCCTCCCTATGCCACCACAGCCCTATGCTCTCCTCTGCCTGGGCAGTGAGCCTCGTTCCCTGATGGTGATTGGCTGGCTGGTTGTCTGTCTCCTGAGACGTTGTGCCGCATTTGCATCTGTATGTCCGCAACCCTGTGCGGAGCTGGGAATTTGGAGCGGGAGAAGGAAGGGCAAGGGGACAGAGAGCTGGGAAGGTGCCCTGAGCTGCCCCATGGGGGACTTGCAGGTGCAGAGTGCATTCGTGCCCCCTTCTCACCCCATCACGTTGTCCGTGAGAACCACAGCGGTTTTGGGAGACTGCCTTGACCTCAGACAGGGCTTGTTTTGAATCTGACAGTAACTAGCCCTCCAAGGAGGGGAGCAGGGGGAGCCCTTTTACACAGCTCCCGGAGACAGAGAATTTCCCCCTTTAGGGAGCAGGGCAGACCATAGATCAGTTTCGTGCACGTCTGCATGTGCTTAGGGCTCTGTCCCCCATTTTCCTGCCAGACTCTGGGCAATGGCAAGGAGGGACATTGCAGGGGGTCAAAGGATTCTTCTGGAAAGGGAAGGTGGGATGCATGGGCTGTTTTGCATTCTGTCATCCTTCTGCAAAGCACCTCAAAGGCCCAGGAGACACCAGAGGCAAAAGAAAGAAGAACAGGAAAGAAAGGTAACCCCTCCCAGCTCTACAGGAAGCTGATCCCCATGGGTCTGACTTTCCCAGTCTGTGATGGAACAGGAGAGATAGGAGATGTCTGAGGGAGGACTGCTCAGCCTCTCCCAGCTATTCCCCATCCCCTCAGCTGCCCAGATGTGACCTTTGTGTCGACCAGAGTCAACGTGCATATTCCCTAGAGCCCATGCTCGGGTTGTGTGCCCAGAGATGGAGATGCTGGTGCCCCCTGGCCAACAGCACGCACGCCCACAGGCAGGTGACATTCCTGTGAGTAGGACATAGAGGTCCCACTTCCCAGCTTGACCCCTGGGAAGCACAGAAAATACAAAAGAGAAGTGGGGGGTTGCCTGGGTGGCTCAGTCAGTATAAGCATCTGCCTTCGGCTCAGGTCATGATCCCAGCATCCTGGGATCAAGTCCAGCATTGGGCTCCCTGCTCAGTGGGGAAACTGCTTCTCCCTCTATCTACTGCTTGTGCTCGCTCTCTCTCTCTTGCAAATAAATAAATAGCATCTTTAAAAAAAAAAAAGACAAGAGGGGGATAGAAAGTTCTTCTCACAGTTGAGGTCAATGCAGGAGCACTGAACAGGTCTCAAGCTAGAGCCTGACATTTGTATTCACAAAGTCAATGGCAAAAGGTCAGGACAAAGGAGATCTGGCTGAGAGTCAGTTCAGGAGAGAAAAAGAGAAATCACTGGGCTAACAGAGGTGCAGTCCACTTGCTTAAAAACAGACAGTGTAGAGCTGAGCTGCTTTAATGAAACCAGAGCCTCCTTTAAAGAGGGAAAAAAAAAAAAAAAATCACATTCTCTCCTGCTGCTTTCAGACCGCATCTGGGCCATTTTGCCCACGACAAAGCAATCCATTTTGAGAATAGCAGTGACTGATGAGAGAATTAGAACGGAAAGGATTCAGAATCTGCCACATGCAAATTATTTTGATCAAGATAAGAGAAAGCTTAAATGGGGGAACAAAAGAGCTATCTTCAAATATTTAAGAAGGCAATCATGTTACTCCAAAGACCAGAATGAGGAGAAATGGGTAGGATTTGGTTTTGTTCTGATAGTGTTGTTCAAGCACTTGGCAGGTGCTGAAATGGGAGCAGGATTTGCTCACCTCTGGGACTTCATCATCTCCTACTGAAGAGAGAAGAACAATTGCTAAGAGTTATACAGGCTTAGGTGTGCCAGGTGTTGGTGTAAGCAGCTTACAGGTGATATGTCCCTTGTCCCAGGGTAGGCACAGTCACTTCCATCCCACAGCATAGGCAAGGGGTCTGGTTAGAGGAGCTTCTCTGCAGTTATTCCCTGGGGGCATGGAGGACAGTGATGAGCTCTCCCAAGGGGACTGGAAGTCAGAGGAGGTGGCCTGAGCTTGCCCTCAGGGACAAGGAGGAACAGTATAGGGGTGGAGGGAGGGGGCCTGGGTAGCTCCCTCTTCTCAACATTTAGCCCAACCACTGCCACCACCCCCAGCTGGTACAAACCACTCTCATCTCCCGCCTGGACTGGTGCAGTAGCCTCCTGCCTGGACTGGTGCAGTAGCCTCCTGCCTGGTCTCCTTGTTGCTGCCCTGTAGACTCGCACCTGCCCAGAGCCGGAATGACCCTCTCCAAGCCTGGAGGGCACATCACTCCTCTCTGCAAACCCTCTGGGACTGCATCTTATTCAAACAAGAGCCACAGTGGCCAGCCAGGGCCTGTAGGATCTCACCCTGTCCTCTCTCATGTTCCTCTCTCTGCCCTTCCCTCTGTTCACCCCTGAGCAGTTGGAAATCATGATTTCTCAGGACACACAACTGGGGCTTTGAATGCCTTTTTGGGGACACAAAAGGACTCTCTCCTCCTTCGGTCCCTGCACGAGCCTCAGACCCTCTTAGCTCCCAGGAGCTCACCACCTGACAGAATGGCTGAATCCATTGATGGCTGGCTCTGATAAACATTCAGATCTCCCTCATCAGTTGGAACAGTCCTAAGATCCTGAAACCAAATCTGGTCATGCCATCCTACTGTTGAGAAACATCAGTAGTGTCTTCCCACTGGCAGCGTTCTTGAGGGGACCCTGGGTGGTGCCAGGCCTCTCTTCATCTCCAGTTCTAGCTTGCTTGCTCATTCATCCATCCCAGCATGGCACATTCACTGAGGGCTTCCCGTGTGCCAGGCACTGTTCTAGGTCCTGATGAGGAGGCAGGGAACAAAACAAAGCCCTGCCCTCTGAATCTTACTATCCTAATGGGGACAGACAGTAAGCCAAGGAATGATATATAGTAGACTACATATAGTGTATAACACAATAGACTATATATAGTGTATATTATATATCATACATGAATAGAGAAGATGCCACATGGTGATAAGAACTTTAGAGAAAAGTAAAGCAGTGTAGGGCAGACCAGGGAGGAGGTGAGGGGTGAGCGCATAAGGTGGCAGGGACGGCCCCACGGATAAGCTGACATGTGAGCGGGGCCTGGGAGGAAGCAAGAAAGTCAGTCATGTGGTTCCTTGGGAAAGGACTTCTGGGCAGAGGGCACAGCAGGTGCAAAGGCCCTGGGGAAGAGTGTGCTGGCAGAGCTGAGGAGCAGCAAGGAGTCCGGAGTGGCTGGGGGAGGGGTGAGCCGAGGGGGGGTCAGAGAGAGGAACATGAGAGCGGACACGGTGAGATCCTACAGGCCCTGAGGCCACCCGAGACCCTGGTCGAACTGGGGTCGTTGAAATGGAAGGCGCGTGGGCCACATTTTAGTGGAGCACTTTCACGAGCTCAGTCTTACCCCAGCCCACGAGTGGCCTCCTCAAGAGTGACAGTCCCCCCCAAGAAGGCCTCCACTCTTTGGAAAGCAGGGAGTCCCTGGTCCTGGTGTGTTCAAGCTGGTACCCGGGTGTCCTCTGTCAAGGGCTGTACCAGTTAGGTTTTGTGGCGGAGACAGACCACCCCAGCATCTCAGTGGCTGACAGCGGTGTCCTGTTATGACAGAGCTCAGCTGTCAGAGCATGCCCTGTGTTGGGACCTGCTATTCTCATGGCAGAGGGCAGGGAACGAAGAGAAGCAGAGCCAAGCCACATAGTCACATTCAGAGCTTCCGCTGGGACGTGGCCAGCTTCATGTCTACTGACACCCCATCGAACAAAGCACGGTGTGGACAGTGGGTCGGATATGTAATCCCACCACAGGGAGAGTGACCGCTCAGGAACAATAATTCAACCTGCCACAGAGGTGTTGTGTGCAGAAGGATTTCTGTTTTGAATAAGCCATTGACCCACTCAACTCAAGGGACTCCCTCTGCTCTAATACTTCAGAATTATTTTGAAAGTCAGTTGCAAAGCCCTCTGCGTCTATCTCCCTCCCTCACGCCTACAGGCCCAAAATGCCATGATGTGTCTGGAAGGCCCTCCAGGGAAGCTGGCCTCCCCACCCAGTTACTCTCTCACTGTCTCTCCTCCTGGACAGGTGGGTGGCAGGCCCATGGAGCCCCTGCTCAGCGACCTGTGAAAAGGGCATCCAGCATCGGGAGGTGACCTGCGTATACCAGCTGCAGAATGGCACCCACGTCACCACACGGCCCCTCTATTGCCCGGGCCCCCGGCCAGCACCAGTGCAGAGCTGCGAAGGCCAGGACTGCCTGTCCATCTGGGAGGCATCTGAGTGGTCACAGGTGGGTGCTGGGCTGCCTTCTCCACAGGGACCCCAACACGGTGCCTTTCCCTCTATGGTATTTGTGACTCAAACCCAAGTATCACAGTGCTTGCCAGCCCCCAGATAACTAAGAAAGATGTGTTCTAGCTCACATATTCTTAAATTCCATCTGAGATGACAGTATGGCTAAACAAACATGGGTAATGTGTTTTTGATCATATATATGTTTTTGATAATATTTACCACAGTTCAATCCCATTTCCTATGAAAATTCTCACATAAAGATGGATGGAGGGAGGGATGGATGGATGGATGGATGGATCGATCGATGAATGGATGGATGGTTGGATGAATGGATGGATGGATGGATGGCTGGCTGGCTGGCTGGCTGGCTGGTTGGTTGGGTAGATGGATGGATGGATGCATGGGTGGGTGGGTGGGTGGGGGGGTAGTTTGGTAGGTAGGTAGACAGACCAACTGACTAACCAACTGACCTTCTAATTTTCTTTTGGTGTATTTGAATTCTGGTGCGATCGGTTGGGAAGGTGGTTTCAAAGGCTTTCTTTGAACTCTGTGTCAGTCTTTGTGGATTGTAAGAGGCAAGCAGACACCGGGAGGGACGGTTTTTAGTGTACAAGTTGGAGTCATACATCTCATGCCATAAAACATTTTGGAAAGAGGTCAATTAAGCCTTAAGTTTTAACTTGAAAGACTGATTCTGGAAATATTTTATCTTTGGTAGTATCATCCTTCAAGGCTTTGCGTTAACTTTGCATTAATGATTTTGACTGTTTGGCCATAAAATAAAAAGCTGAATAAAGGGCAAGTTTCCCTCAGGTCCTCCATCAAATGTGTTCTAGGAAAGTCAGAAAGGCTAAATCCAAGACACTCTTCAGTGTGGAAAATATTTTTAAAGTTCCTTTTTTATTGCCAAACAGTTGGAATTATTTTGAATAAGAAAGTATTCAGCCCATTCTTAATGAACGAAAAGTTTGCCCTTGGCTACTCTGAAGTTGGGTTTACTTTTCAGACAGATCCTGACATGTACCTGTTAAAGACCTGAGTCTTTAGCCTGCCCTTTATGATATTTGAGGGGAAAGAGAGAGTTTAAAATTTTGATCTTTTATATGTACTTAGGGCTGTAAGTTGAACATTCAAGGGACCTCTTTTAGGGAGGGGGACTACTTGCTGGAGGGGTAGGGTCAGGCATGCAGTCTCCCACCCCCACCCCCGCCAACCCACCTTGAGCCTGAGGTTCTTGATCACCTGGCTCTTGATCCAAACAAGATTTATGTTTTAATCAGATCAAAGCCATAAATTTTCCATTCAGACTCTTTCTCATAGAAAAATAAAAATGTCCTTACCAAAATAACCAAGCCTGACATTATCAACCATCACCATAGCATTAAAGAACACCAGATTGGAAAATGTGAGACAACTGAAGCAAGATTTAAACAAATCTCTCTAATTTCACGTCTCTATCTCTGTGTGTACCTGATCCTAATGCTGAAATAGTATCCATACCAATCAGTCTCCTTTTGGCTCACCCTAGGCTCGAGCCAAATGCCTCTTTTTGAACAGTTAACTTGGAATCAAATCTTGCCCTCATTCACGAGATTCTCACCAAACTGGTATTTCTACTGCTTCACCACATGCTGAAGCCCCTTTAAAGATTTTATTTATTTGAGAGAGAGAGAGCACAAGCAGGAGGAGGGGCAGAGGGAGAGGGAGAAGCAGACTCCCCACTGAGCAGGGAGCCCACCATGGGGCTTGATCCCAGGACCCTGGGATCATGACCTGAGCTGAAGGCAGATGCTTAACTGACGGAGCCACCCAAGCGCCCCAGTGCTGAAGGCCCTTTAATGTTTCTTCTTCTGGAAACAAATGGGTTTAAATTTCTCGTGGCAGAGAAATTTATTTTATTGAGGAGGTTGCCTTTACATAGCCAGCAGTGTTGATCAGCCGTACTGTCTACCCCCCAGCTTCTTCCCAGCTTTGTTCAAATGAGGAGCAGATACTTCCCAGCTTTGTTTGAATGAGGAGCAGATACCAGGAAGGAAGCAAAAGATGGTGACTGTCTCCTGTCCTAGGTCCCTCCAGAGGAAGCCCCACCTTCTGGTCAGAAGGGCTGAGCCTGGGTTTGGTCAAGAAACAGGCTAGACATTATAGTGTTTGAAATTCAAGGGAAAGGGACAGGGAATGCAGAGTAGAGTAAGACAATGCAGGAGCTCTGGCAGAAGTGGTAAGTAGGCTTCTAGTTGAAGAAAGAGCATGGGTGTGGGTGCTGGTGCCAGGGAGGAGCCCACAAGTCAAATGGTCAAGGCAGAGCTAATGAAATGGTCGGGGAGCATCACCATGCAGAGAAGCAGAGAGATTGACCTTCAACTCGGTAACCCAGGCTCCCAGCAGTGGCCCTCCCAGCCACAACCCATCCTGCCCAAGAGGACGACACCTGCTCTGGACTGACTCCTTGCATCCAAGATCCTATAAAGCCAACCCCTCACCCACACACCGGACCAAATGCGCATGCTCTCCAGCTCCCCCCAGATGACACCACAACCAGTTCTGAAGCATGTGTATTTCTTCTAAAACAAGCCAATCTAAGTTAGTCTCAAAAAAAAAAAAAAAAAAAGGAAAAAAAGCCTCGGAGAGCTAAATTGAACTCATCGGAAAAATAAAGCTACATAACATTTTGGGATAAATGTTAATAATAGAACTATAAAGAACTTTTGTCCTGTAGGTGCATTTTTTCAGGGGACACAGTGGAACTTTTTTGAAAAATCAAGTTTGCCGTGGCTCAAGAATATCTGCTGTATATTTCTGGTAAATCAAGCAAGTATGAAAGCAGACGCTCAATTTGTGAGGGCTCCATTTTGTGCCACCACAGCGCATGGGCTGTCCATGCCATAGCTCTAGGACCCAGGTGTTGGGAGCCTGGGGCTCACTGTGTCTCTACCTCTTGGCGGAATGCAGCCTTCAGGCCAACATCTCCGCAAGTTACATGTTTGCTTCCATGGTGGAGACAGGCAGGGCTTCCATACCTGGCAAATAAGAGGGAGAGCTCCCTGGGTTTGCAAGCCACATCACCTCCTCTTGCTGGCCGGATCATGCACAGTCAGTCCCATCCTCCCGAGGTCATAGGTCTGCTCTGCCTGGGCTTCCTTCTGCTTTGTTTTGAGGTGGCTAAGCACTCTCGGAGCCCGGTGAGGTCCCTCCCTGAGTGCAGGGGGAGCACGCCAGGAGCAGGCTCCAGATACACCCCGCAGATCTACCCTGTTTACAGCTGTCACCCCACCTCTCACCCCGTCTTCCGTGGGTCTTGCTGCCTGAGGGCGTGGGAATCTTGAATTCTCAGGGCTCGCACATGATCTGTCATTCCTCAGGCCCTCTTTGGGTCCCCTCACCACACTTTCTCTTGCAATGTCTCCCGGGAAGTAGGTAAATTACTACAGGGACCATTGCTCAGTGATGTTCTTGGCATCCACACTTAACACATTCACTGCAGCTCTCTACAAGAGCTTGCCGACGGCCTAACATGAAAGTCACCTGTGGCTTGGGTTTACATCTCCCCGTTTTCCACCCTGAGCCTCTGCTTTTGCCCCAGGCTGGCCCAGGCAGCGTGCGTGGAGCTAGAGGCCAGCTCGGAGGAGTCAGGGGCCTCAGACATCTTTGCCTGGGTGTCCTTACCTGGCTTCCCCTGGCCCTGTCCCCTGCTCTGCTCAAGGGTCCACCAGCATTTGCCCCTTGAACTTCTCCACTGCATCAGTCTTTTGGACCTGGTAGCAGGCCACTAAATTCCTAGTTTGGTCTTCTGGTACCTCGAGCTCTCCCCGCTCCTGTGGCCCTCCCCCCATCACTGGCCACTTGGCTGGAGTCACAGCTGGGACCATGTGCTTCAGACTCTAGAAGCCCAGCAGCATCGTCATCCTTGCGTCCCTGGTCCTGCGGCTAGCACATTGTTGCGACTTAATAGGCCTTGATGACCTTGAGCTGAACCAGACCGGATCAAACATCCAAATGATGTCTTGCAGTGCTCGGCCACCTGCGGCAAAGGGACCCGAAAACGAACTGTGACGTGCACCAACTCGCAAGGAAAATGCGACGCGTCCACGAGGCCCAAAGCAGAGGAGGTGTGCGAGGACTACTCGGGCTGCTACGAGTGGAAGACCGGGGACTGGTCCAAGGTGAGTCCTGCGGGCCTGCGTCTCCACCCTGCCCAGCCGCGCCGGGAGCTCTGCAAGCAGGAGCTCAGCAATCACGTGGGCTTCCATTGCATGAGGCAGTCCCGGGCTACCCAGGCTACCCAGGCAAGTTCGCTTTCTCTCCAAGCTCTGCACCTGCCCATGACCCTGTGCCATGTGCATCTGGGAAGGAAACCGAATGCCCCCCAAAGTACAGAGCAGGGTGCCCTGGATCCCAGTTGGCTGCCCTGTGCTGTGTGCAGCCTGTGCCCCAGCATCCCTCGGGGGGCTTGACCATCGGCCATCACAAAAGCCTCGAAAACACAGGGAGCCTTGGCCGAAACGGACGCAGAGAGGGGTCAGGGGCAAACAGCTCTTCCCTTCACTTTTAGGACCCCTGGGTGAGGGCCCGGATGATGCAGGGGCAGGCAGGTAGGGGCTCTGGGGGCGGGGCAGAAAGGAAGAGCCATCTTCTAGAGCCTGACCTGCAACCCGGGGTGGGGGTGCAGAGAGAGTGAAAGAGCACTGCAATGTAAATCAGATGTGAAAACTTCTTTGCTGTTCAGCTCTTCTTTTATCCATGCCCCTAGTATCTGTGAACCCATTACCTCTGACGCCTGTTCCCCGGGGCGGGGGGGGTGGTGTGGGAGCTGAGGTAAGTACTGCTGTCCCACATGAGCACCGGCCAGGAGGCCTGCTAGGGAACCTTTTCCCAAGAACCATAGAATTTCTAGTGACATTCGCTAACGTCTGATTTTCTAAGGAAAATTTCTAATGGCAGCAGAGGGTGTTCGTGTTTCTTTTTTGGTCTTCACAACTGAAAACTCCCCGTTCACTTCTCTTGATGTCTCTTCACCCCAAGTTTGCAGACTGGTGGCCCAAGGGCCCCCAGTTTTTGCGTGGCCTGCGTGATATCATAAACATTCTGGAATTAGTTACTAACATTTAAAAACAGGGCGATTTCGCCTGAAAATCTGGATTTGGGGCCCTTGTCTGGAAATCTGGCAACATGCTGATGTGGCAGGCATCCTCACTTGGCCACTGTGCCCTGGGGCCAATCAGGCCTGGTGCCTTTCCCCAAGCCCTGGCCCTCTTCCAGCCCCCCACACTCCTCTAGCCACTATGCGTTTTGATTTAGCTGCCTGGCCCAGGCAGTAATTTGGTTTGTGCCTCTGCTTTATGGAAGGAGAGATGGTTTGGCCATTAGAAAGCAAAACTTACCCAGATCGGGTCCTCACAGAAATGCCACCTTCCTGCAAGTGAGAATACAAACTCCTCCAAACTCCTGCAGGGCACAAAAGCCAGTTTCTCAGGTTCCAGTTTGCCGGCTATGCTAAAATGCAGCTTCTGGATAACTGTGAATTTGGGGAAGACCAAAAACACCTCCTTTTTATTTACTTCCTCATCAGAAGATCTGATCAAAGCAATAGAACTGGGCCAACAGTCCAGTTTCTCCATGAATGTAATAACACATAGAATGGAGTTGCCAGGATGTCTTCCTTTGGAGGAGGCTTCACTTGAACTTCACTTGAAGGCTCTTGCAAAAATGCCGTTAGAACCTCGAGTCCTGTGAGAGAGGCATCAAAGGGCTGAGTTACAGCTCTGACTCACCATTTAAGGTATCTTAACCTCTCTGGCCCTCAGTCTCTTTATCGCTGCACTGGAGAATCATTAACACTGGCCCTGCCTGTTTCTCAGAGATGCTCAGAGCTTTCAAGGCATTAGTATATGTGACTAAGCGCTTTGACAACTCAGCCCATTTTTCCTGCCCCAAACCCAGCACCCAGTGTTTATGCTGTGGTGAGGCACAGTCCCCAGGACTAACCTGTTCTGATCTCGTCTAACTTTGTCTTATCAATCGGAGGGCCCAGCCTTTTATACAACCATGCCAAGAAATGTTGTCTCATGGCCAAGCATATCAGACTCAGCTTGAGAATGGTCACCAGTGTATCCCAAAGGCCCAGGGAAATGTAAGCGAGCTCTCAACAGTGTGAGTTCTAATCAATAAGAAAACATTTTGGGAGTGTTCTGTGTCAGAATTGTCAGAAAACATAGAAGGGGAGCTCCCCAACATAGTAAGAGGCAGAAGACCACCGTCTGGACTCCAAATGTCCAGGTGTGGACTGGAACAAAGCTGTCATTCTACTTGGGGAATTAGAAGGGTCCTGGGGTCACACCCCACATGCAGCCTGTGCTAGCGAAGGGTGACCTCCATGGTCATAGATATCCCTGGGCAGGAAGTGGAGGGGCCAAGGAGGGCCTGGGCTGCATGCACCCATCAGAGTTTGAGATCTACCCCTGCGCCTCTGCCCTCTGACCAGGGCCCTGGCCCTGTTTTCTAGAAGAGACAGTAGATGCTTAGAGATAAAGTGACTGGCCCACAGTGCTCTGGCAGAGTCCAAGCTCCTGAACCCCAGGTCAGAGTTCAGTCCATATGAGAGGGGCTCCGAAGGCCCCATGATGGTACCTTTGAGCCACAGCATGTCCTAGAGATGGTCATTGGCTCTCCAGAGCCTGGGTTTCTCCAGCCTCACCATTCGGGCTTTGAAGACCAGACGGACACTTTTATTTTCTTAAGTACCATGAACTTCCTGGTGCGGGGAGCTGCAAAACACCAGGAAATGAATGTGAGTTGTACCTGAGAGGCTCCTCGCCGTGCTACCCCAGATCTGGTAGCTTACGCTCACCCTCCTCCATTGTTCAAGGGCCCCTCCTTGGCTGAGGAGGCCGGCTTGCCATCCAGCAAACTCCCCCACACACAGTCCACCAGGCAAAGTAGAGCCTTTAGCTGGCCTGCCTCTTTATTAGCCAGGTCATGGTGAATAATGCCTCCCAGCTTTCTGGAAAGTAAGGTATTGGAAGACCACAGTGCCTGCTTTTTACCACAGCCAGCTTGATCAGTCATCCTTGGCCTTAAAAACAGGAAAGATCGATGGCATGTGTTGATCTTGGCTGCCATCCAGGGGCGGTATCTGATGGCATCGGATTGGTGTGCACAGAGCCTTGGGGGAAAGTACTCAGCATGGCGGGGGGGGGCGGGAAGCTGCCCCCTGCCCAGCACATCTGGCCAGAGCCGGGGCCCGGGGCAGACTCCATCTACCAAGCTGAGAACTTGGTCACAGACCCGGAACCAGAAGCCCAGGTATGCACGAGCATACTGAGCAAGCGTGATGGGGCAGGGGCTGCACACGGCCCCTGTGCGGCCCCTGTGGGACCCCTACCCTGACGGTTTGCCTCATCACCACTCCCTCCTCCACTGCCATCACTGGGTGGGCTGGCCTGCCCAGTTGCAGAAATCTGTACAGTACAGTTCTAGAAATCTGCCCGTTGCTTTTCCCCATTTCTTCTCTGGGGAACGGAAAGGATGCAGTTCCCCAGAGGGGTCCTTGTCCTCACTCGCTGGGCAACCGGCCAACATAAGTGGATTCCACTGGTTGGATGGTACCCTGATATTTACATTTGTTTGGACTAGATTTGCTTTGCCGTTGACCTCTTATCTTCACTCTATGGCTTGTGGACAGTGCCCTTGTCACACATGTGGGGTTGGTGCACTTTTAAACCCTCTCCTGTAACCAGCCTCCAAACCGCCCACATGCCAGACTTTGAAGGCTTCAAACAAGCTGCCTAGAAGGAAAGTCAATAGAAGTCCAAGGGCTGTCAGAGCCTCGGTGTATCTGGAAGCTTTGACATTTTGCCTCCAAGCAATCTCCTATTACTTGGCCCCAAGGTGCTGTTAAGAAAGATAAGCGTGTCTCCAGGGAGGTGACAGACACCGGTCCACGGACATGGTGCAGGTGCTGTCCGGTACTCACTGAAGCAAGAAGGAGCAGTCATCCCTTGGGAAGGGGCTGGCACCCATCTCTTCCTGTAGCTGGGTGAGGGTTCCTGAGAACAGCACCCAGGACCGTGGGGAGGCAGGGCCCCTCCTCCAGCCTCAGCAAATGGCTGAACCCCAACCAGGGACCCGCACGCAGGACAGACCTCACATTCCCATTCCTGCTGAGGGCATTATTACTCTCTGCCATGTTTGAAAAATGACCTGCCCTCCTGGGATATCTGCTATTTCCAGATCTGTGCAAATCATTGTTTCCACCCGCTAAATGCTGGGTATTCAACCCGGGGGCGGGGAGATGTCACTTAAAATGGGAAAGGAGGAAATCACATTTCTTTCTAGAATAGCATGACTTTTGATCAAAAGTTGAGATGTTTCAGTTTCAAGACCAGAGGCATTAATCACGACTGAGCTGATGGGATGTTTCTAATTAGAAACAAATTATTCTGGAGGGACTCTAATGGATGGTGTTTTTAGAGAAAACCATTGGCTCTCTGTGTTAAGAGTATGGTGTTCCCTTTCACTGAAGGGATCAAACTGACCATTGACTTCCTGGTGCCAGTGGAGGTCCCGTGGAAGGGAGATGGTCTGACTCCTAGGCCTCGGTCACGCCCCAGGTGTGGCCCTCACACCCGAGCCCCAGGCTGTGATGTGGAAATCACAGCACCTCCCAGAGGCCTTGGGAGGTCAAAGGAAGAAATAAGCGTGTAAGAGTCTCTGTTCTATACTGTGCTGTCCCTGGACAGCTGGTACATGCCTCCCTGCGCTCTGGGCAGGGAGATGGGGCTTTCAGCAACATGGCCTTAGCAAGGAATGAGAGGGGTTTGCTACAGAAAGTGTTTCAGCCCATACCACTTCCAAAGCCTGAACCTACTTTCTTTGGTGCGGCCTGACCCCGCACCCCACTCTGCAGGGCTGGCCTGCCTGCCAAGCTGGGGGTCTGCAACCAAGTCTCTGTGATTCAAGCAGCACTTCCTGAGCTCCTTTTCTCAGGAGAGAATGTGCCAGACCTGTCCTGGGCATGGGAGTGAAAAGAGAGTGGACAGCCTGTCTCTGCCATACCTGACCCAGCCTAGGTATGGACCAACAAAGAGCCAACCATCTTAGGCCACACTGAGTCCCCCTGGGCCAGTGTGAACACAGTGCTATGGGACCCAGGCATCCTCTGTCT